AATGTAAATTAGGAGCTGACGAGTATAATTGCACGCATTCACACCTGCCGCCCTACCGCATTTTTTAGCTAAAACCTTGTGACTGTTAATAAATAAAAATTGCCTATTAATAACGTGAAAAATATATAGACGGTGGAGATGGCACTAAACAAGCATGTCTTTTTTAGCGGAGCTGCTCTCTCGCACGCACACTTTTTGATCACTTGCATTAAAAAAATAAAGAATAAATTTCGATTATTCTTCTAACTTGTGGTCATGGTAATTATCTTTTTGAAGATAAACAAAAACCGCACTGGGTTGAATGAAAAGGTGTGAAATTTGGCTAATAAAAAGGTGAAATATTCAAGTCTTTGGAAGCGTGAAAACATATATTTATTTAATTATATCTTTGCGTGTAACTGCTGCTTTAGAGTAAGATGTTCATCGGCGTGAAATTTTTCAACAGAAAAATAAAATGTGAAAATTCTACTTTAGAGTAATTTTAACTACCGATTTGTATAATTTTTTACAACTTTTATCCTTCCAGATATAGTAAATCAAATTGACCAGAAAATTAATCTTGATTTGAATATCAAAAGATTTGTGTTTTTTTATTTACTTTTTAAAAAGTTGTGAGACGATCGTGGAATGTGGTGGTTTCTTTAATTGATATAGCTTCTCCATCCAGGACACTTTCCTTGATTCACTTTGCAGTACTTGCATTGACAACCTGACTTCCTAGCTCGGATAGAAAATATCGCAGACCTTTATTATTGTTTATAGTCTCTTGAATCTAGCACAGCCTTATAGCATTCATCATCACAAGAATTTTAACTCTACTTTTAAATACTTTCTATCATAAACATAAAATAAAATTCAAAATGCCTGTCATATTTATATGAAAAAAAAACTTTAATCAAATTTGCTTGTTGAAAAGACAAGATACTTTTATCTTTTATAATAAATAATACAACAAATCTAAATTTTGCAATTTCCTTAGGTTTGCCAACGCACTGCATCACATTTTTCATGTCATCCTTCACCTGATAGCTGAAAGGAAGATCATGTTGCCGCGAGTACAGGGCGTGATTATATTTTGCATCGACCTGTCCCTATCTATCCGTTGAACAAAGTGTTATTCTTCTCGCTTACAGGCACCATTAAATGCTCTATTATATCGTTATTAACGCGAACAATAGACCGATCGTATAATACTCAACACAAAAGCCACGATGATTACGCACGCTAATTGAACTCCGGATCAAGTGAGCTTGCTACTGTTAACTTTGCTATTTTTTTTATCTCAACAAGATCGTCTGATTTATTGCGAGCAGAGGAGAGTGACACTGGTGATGATTTGCGTGACATTGCAGGTGTCAATCTCTCCACGCACTGACGACTATGAATGATTTATGTGTGTGTATGCAACAAAATTAATCGTGTTAAAAAGTAAAAAATATTTATTTTGTAACTTTACATTAACTATTTTTGAAAGAAATCTATTGTCTGACAATGAGAGTCATCTTAGAAACTATGTTTCATATTTATAATTTAATTAAGTAATTGTTAATCTCAAAATAAAATTTAAAAAACGTATGGAAAGCAAATATGGAAAGGAAAAGCCCGAATCTTCATTTCCATGATCATCTCCTCGAGTGTCAACTTCTTCAAAGAAAGCAAATATGTCTGTTTTAAAATTTAAAAAAATTTATAAAATTTAAAAGTTGCGTTTTTCCTAATTTTTGAAACTATTTTAATTGCTAAAGTTTAATTAAACTTTTTTTAAATAGTTAAATAATCTTTACAATAGAGTTAATGCTAAGCTCTAAATAAAGCCAATTATGTCCATAACCAGTAAATTGCTTATGAGGCTATGTGGGTGACGCGTTTATGCACAAATGAGGTAAATTGCATCTTTCCCCTCTCGTGTCTGCAGTGCACCAATTGACCGTCTTTGCTGCAAAAACGAGAAATCTGGACCAGGAAATCTACGAGTATGCAAATTTTTTATTGTCTATAACTGTTCAATTATATAAAGGCGTATGGTGCGGTCATCTGCTAAGCAGTTGTAGAAAATTTTAAAATTTAATTAATAAAAGTGAAAAAATTTTGGCTGAAAGAAGAGTTGTTGCAGGGAAATTAATGAGTTGTTAAAAGGGAAAAAAATAAGCGGTCGTGAGATGAACTACAAGTGATGCGAAGAAAAGTAGTACGCTGGCATACACACATGCTTCTTCCATTGCAGTCTGAATCTGCACGCAATTAATGGAAGAGATCATCACGTCACAGAGAAGAGAATTGAAGGAAATGCCAGAGTAGAGGTCTTAGATAGGGATAGTAGCATTGAAACTATTGAAAGCGATAAATCTGGTTTGCATTTCACCGATTCCTTTTCAATAATTCATTTAAATTTGAAATTTTAAAAGACAATTAAAAATGAATTAATAATTAAAATTTATTTATTTCATTTTTTGGTATCAACTATTCAAAGTTACAAAATTCATACCAATGAGAGTAATTTCATCTAAATATGTTGAGCCGTTTTTAAATTAAAAAGTACTGACAGATGCCACCTAAAACTGCCGTCAAGACCGATTTGCAAGTTTTTGTCCAATACGCTCTTACTTCAACACGGATCAAGGATCAACATATTGAGATGAAATTTGAAAATAGATTGAAATTAAATTTCCAATCGATTGGCTATCTCAGAAAAATAAAAAACTTAAATCTATGAAAAAAAAATTATTATTTAGACTTTGATCATTCTGTTGAAAAATAAAAAATAAATTGTACAACAAAACGATTACAAAAGAAATTGTAGAAAATTTAATTAGCTACCATTTTCTGTAAGGGTTTGTTTTAACATTTTTTCTCTAAATTTAAAAATTAAAATGACAATATTCACGCAGAAACGTTCATAACTTTGCTCCAGATAATTAATAATTTTTTCTTTTAATTAACAATTATTTAATTTAGATGGCTAGCAATTCTGAAATTTGAAAGATTTATCTCAACGCTAACTAAAATATTAAATTCACGCAAACCTCTAATAAATCAAGCGCCGAGCAAAGTGGCAAGCAGAGACCGGCGCGTATTGAAGCTCATAGCGCGACAACGGCTGCTCCGATCGAAAAATAAGTCAATTTGAGCTTTTTTTGCTCTGATATTACTTGACGCGAAAAATTGACACAATGAATGCGCGTCGAATGCCAGAAAAATGCAAGGCCAGCTGGGCAACGAAAGAATTCTCATTATTGTAAAAATTTTAAGCCGCCTCTTTCCAGCCAAAACCTCCAAACTTGTTATCTTTAAACAGGTCGGACTAGATGATAAGGCGCAGAAATTTTTTTAGTACCTGCAAGTTTATCGCCGAAAACGCGTGTGCGAGCTAAAGTAAGGTGCGTCAGTTAAAAGTCAAGTTGTAAAATTTTACAAAGTCTGAATTCATTCACGGGAAAGCATAATTATGTTCTTTCATTTAAGAAAAGACAACTAATGGGGAAATTTAAAGTATGTATTGTCCATATAAACATAAAAAGCAGCCCTTTTTTAATAATGATAGAGACTTAGAAATTTAACCCAATTTAATTTCAAAATTTTCAAATCACGTTTTTTTTTTTAAATTTTAATATCAATTTATTTTTTAATATTGCCATAAACTGACCAAATTCTATTCATTATTTTAATATTATGTTTAATGCTTGAAATTTCGTGTGCAAGTATCGTTGTCTTAGGAAGTACTGAACCGGTTTCAATTTTTTTTCTTTTGCGTCAATTTGAAGACTGAGTCACTGTGTGACGAGATAACAAAAACCGACACTTTAAAATATATATGGGATCATTGGATAGTAAATATCAGGAAGCATAACTGTTTTCAGGTGGAGCCCTTTGATAATTGATTGATATTTTAGGAAGTGCAATAATTGTACCTACAATTAAAAAAATTGTAATTATTTCACCTGTACGTAATCCAATTTCAGGGTCAAAAGAAACAAAAATTCAACTAATCTGCATTCTTTTGGGCGGTTTCTCGATTGACGTTTCCTAATTCCTGTTTTACGAACATTCACAAAAAAATTCCACTTCAACCTTCAATTATTCGTGAAATTCGAAATAGGGAGCGGTATTTTGTTGAGTGCAGAACCATACTCATGGCTTAAAAAATAAAATTAGATCAGATCATCTTTCAGAAAGGAATTTTCATTCAACAATCTCAACTTAAAAATATTTAAATTATTTATTTTTCATATTCTATTCTATAAAATTGCATAGTTTAAAAAACGAAATTTCTAAAGTAGAATAAAATTATTAATATTTGAAATTCTAACGAGCATTGTGCAAAAATAATTTTTTTTTTATAATTAACACTTACCGATAGGATAGATTAGGTAGGGTTCTTCAAAAAGATGCAAACTAATGTGGACTTAAATTTTAAATTTCAATTCTCTATTTAAGGTGGTTCAATTAAAATAAAAATAACATAAAATAATAAATTTATCATGTACTTTAAAATTGATCAAATATGATACCCACTCAGATATTTTTTTTATTTGTGAATGCCCTACACTGACATGTTTTTAGCTAATTAAAAAAGGATAAATTGTAAAACTTTGACAAATATTTAAACAAAACGACAAATATGTTTAAGGATATCTGACTTGATCAACTCTTAAAAAGTTGAATTGATAACTTTTAAATACCTCCCTAATTATATTGAGGGTTGGATTTTAGCAAAATTTAATACGACGAGCACCGTCAATTGGTGCATAGATAAATCTTGCTTTAATTTGATCAAAAAATTAATTATTGTTTACTACAATTGCAATAAAAAAAATCGGAAATTTTGTAGTGAAACAAATGTCAAGCGGGATGCGTGTTTTACGTGCATGTAATGTGTAGTTATTCCATAATTGCAATAAGAATTAGATCTGCGTTCTCCCCTCTAGTTTTGCTCTGATCGCGAACGCACGTTTATAATATAAAATCTCACAGCTCAAACTAAGTTGGTTTTGTTTTCAGAGGTGAGTTGTGCAGGGGATAGAGTGGGAGATCAACTGCACGTACGGCAGCTAGTGCGCGGCGAGAGCAGTCACTCAGCATCTCTAGCCAGGATCCAGGAGGGAAAAGTGGCCGCGGCTCTCGTTGCACATGCAGTGCACATGCGATCGACGCCCGATTTGTTTTTGTCCGCCCGTGTTGAGGCGGCGATGACCGTGTCGGCGCCGCAGACGTGACATGCTGGCCTACCAGAACCACCACAAAGCAGGGGGCGGCCGCCCCCTCACCGACGTCGGCCTCCACCTCAAGCAGTGCAAGCGTGTCGCCAAAAACAGACTGTTTGGTGTGCGCGGCGCCGCCGAGCGCGAGTGTCGGCGCCACGACGGCGGCGAATACGCCGAGGACAAGCGCCTGTGCGGCAACACTGACACCCTGCCTGTCCAGATGCTCATTTCCGAAAAGGGACACCTCAACCACGGTAGGACCATTTTGCCAAAAGAAATTGATGAATTTTATTTTTACAAATGAAAACCTTATATCATTAATATTTTTACTTTTCATCTTGAGTACAACGTTTTGACCCGACTTGCTGTAAAGACTTGTAACATACCGTTAAATTTAGTAACATATTTTGTGGATTGTTTTCAATTCATCATCAACACACCATTTAATCAGGCTGGAATCTGACTGACTATTTAGATAATGAGACACCCATGATGGAATAAGATTTTCTGTCTAGTTCACATAATTGCGTTAAAGCTGAAGATAGATCAGTTGATTTAATCTTCAATTATATCCGTTTTTCTTCATTCAAGTTTTTTATTTTTTGAATATTTGTTACTGACAATAAAGCAATTAATATAAATTAATGCACTTGCACTTCTTCCGAATGAAAGCTGTGCGACCACGTATATGCAACCCAGTAAAAGTCAATTAAGCGAGCAGTAGAACTATCATGTCATGCCTCTCGCGCGTTTACATAAATTTTTCTTATACATTTGCCATTAATTGTAGAGCGTGTATGTTAGTTAGAAACTCTGGCAAGTATACAAGTGTGTTTTCAATCTTGCGATATGCTGGAGATGAGAGATTTTTCTTCATTCGTTTCAAATTTGTATTCGCAACGCAAAGGATTTCCCGCGCACGTTAAGCAAGTTGACAATGATCTAGTGACGAGTGGCTCGATGTCACAAGGAAAAGAGAGACGCTTACTAGAAAAGCACATCTAAAAATTTATGGGCAATAAGCTGAAAGACCAAGAGCAAATTTGATAAATTTTTAATTTTCTTAGTTAATTTTGTGGACTGTTAGATTGCTATGTTAAAAATAAAATTGCTTAAAACTAATAAGTATTTCTGCAATCATAAGATGATGTATTTGGCCCGGTGATACATTAATAAACATGATTTATTTTAATCTAATTTTATTTAAAAAAATGTTCTAGAATCATAGTTTTCTCTTTGCCGAAATTTGTTAACATTAGTTTTTTTTTTCAATAATTCCAAATTCTTAAGAAAAATTTTCCACGGCAGAATAAAAATTATTTGGTGACAGCAAGGAAATATTCGCTCTAGCCCACATATTTATTCTCCCGCACCTGTAGCGCACTTCACTTTATCTCTTTGTTTCCACCCACCTTGAAAAGAATGATGTCTGCATGTGAATTAATGTTCTCAGAATCTGAGCAAACGCTGCGATAATTAAATTAGAGCTTCTTCTGTTTATCTCCTCATTACACTACATACTTGCTTGAAAAGAGAGCAAACCTTTTCAACTTTTAATTGGCAGAGATGCAGCAGGATCGTAATTGGATCATTCCGAGAAAATTAGCCGAGAGCAATTTAGATATTCACTATTCCCCTATTTACAACTTTTCCTTCCTATAACTGTTCCATCGGTTCCTCTCTGAGATCGGATCACAGAGAAAAGTTTGAAGGGCCGCGAAAACGAACTCTTTCTTTTGGTGGCGCGACAACAATAACATTTGCTGTCTCACCTCGCCGCTCATTTGATTCGACACTCTCGTAAAAAAGCACTAAAATCGGCCACACGGCAAATCGAGGATGGTCCTCTTTTCTATTTTTTTTTTCACTTCTTTTTTGTTCAAAGTGACACACACGGATTGCTGCACACTCAAAAAACATTTATTATTTGCTGCACTTGACTGCTGCTTTTTCTTGCAAGAAAGAAACATGGAGATTCCTTAATAAAATTATGAGAGGCAATTAGGCCAGGCGGGAGTTGGAGAAATTTGTTTTTCTGCTCGAATAGGTTTTTCGCGCTTTCCTCAAAGATTCGGACAAAATAGAATGAAAAATATGAGCTTGATGTGAAATCTAGTTTTTTTATTATTTTAAATTAATAAATCACAATTATGTAAAATGAGAATTTACCGTTTTTTTTTTTTTTTTGTATTAATGTTTTGATATTATTTTTTCTAAAAAAGATATTGTATAAAACATTAAGAATTTTTGTACACAATTTACCGAATCTTATTTCCAGATGTGTTATAAAAGTTTGAGGAGAATAATTCTCCAAATTTTTATTCTGTCTTATGCAACCCGCGCAACAGGTATCAAGGAGGCTCAATTTTGAGTGATTTTTTTAAATCGATCTTCAATTTAACGCAATATTTTTAAATATTCCTCTTCCAAGTAAACTTCTTTTAGTTTTTTTTTTAATTACTTTCCTTCAAATTACTACCAGGTGTTAAAAAATTAAAGCCGATCCAGATTATTAACAGATTTTATGATAAGTCTAATAATCGCAATTTACGAAAGTTTTTAACTAGAAATTGCTTTTCATAGAAAAATTCATCTTTTGATATCAAGCGGTTGCATTAAAGTGTTTTATCTGTATAATACCATGTCAGAATGTTAATTAACTAAATCAAATAATTGCAGACTTTTAAATTGAAATATTGAATGTTTAATAATTATTAATATTTATCTTAACAATAAAAAAAATCTAATTGCAGAAAATTTGTTTTTTTAAATAGACCTTCAGTTCTTCATTTTACTAATTTAATCGAATTTGATTTTTAAATTAATTAGCACAAACCATTTTAATGATGGTATAATTTCTGGTAATCATTTTATTTTTTGGCACATTATTTATTTGCCAACAGGTCTGCAAACGCCGATGAAAGAGTAACTATGTGCACTGTCACACCCGACGTGTTTTACGACAAACACACACTCGGCGTGCTCATCAATTTTGTGTCTTGTTTGCCGAGCAATTTGCAGACCTTAAACACGGCGAAATTTTTACGTCATTTTAACCCGAACGCTGGCCGGCTAACCTAACCTCTCGAAACGCGTGACACTCGAAACGCTTTTCGACGATGGGAATCCACACTGTAGCGAATTGGGAAGAGGGAAAAAAATCCGCCTAACGCAAACAGCTACATAGATTGTGCAAAATCCGCAAAATGCACTCATCTCCACCTACTTATCAGGTGAATGGCACTCGAGAAATTGGCAACTTCTCTTGCATGGCTCCCTTCAAAAACGCATTAATTTTATTTGTTATAGAGGTGTCAGAATAAAAGTTGATGAACTTTTATTTAGTTTTTTTTATTCACTCTTAAAGTTTGAAGTATTGCGACAGCCAAACTATTTCCATAACGTAATTTTTCTGTACAATAATGGACTTTTTCTACTTTTTTGCCTTTTGTTGAAGACTGACAAGCCACAATTTTATTATATTATTATTTTAATTTTTAAAACAAAATCTAACCAGACATTTAAAAAATTCGAAAGTGTAGACTTCCAAAAATTTATGAAGTTAAGACTTTGTACCAAAATGTTGATATTTTTAGTGTTCATTTTAATTCTTTAAATTTAAAATATAAGAAAATATTTACTTTTGAACAATTAATTACAGCCAGACCTAACAAAGAAATTCGTGTGATTTTGTGTAGTGGACCCTCCGCGGTTGCACTTGTGTGTAATTATTTTACAACTGTTCCTTGCATTTTCAAGGGCGACCGGCCTGAATGGTGCGGTGCATTGGAGAGAAAAAGAGTAAAAAGTGAGTGCATTTTCACAAACACGGAGTGCATTCTCGCTCTCAGCTGATGATCCTTCATACAATGCACCTTTCTAGGTCAAACGCCTCACAAAACAACTTGCTATATTCCGACCGACCACCGCAGCAGCAGCAGCAGCCATATTGCACACAAATTTCCCCATACAAGTACCGAGAGAGTGCGACCCGAGATGCGAACCCATTCAATCCGCTAAGGCTATAGGCGTTACTAATTTTTTTCTTCTATTACGCGGCAGCCTTCAATTTTGAATCAAAGTTGTTTGCTCCGGCAAAAATTTCTTATTCAGGGAGAAACTGACGTTATTTTGCAGATTACATTATTGATTTGTCTTATATTTCAATGTTTTTTCCAGAATATAATTAATGATGAAACAATTAACATTTAGTAGAAACTATAAATTCAAAATATAAAAAGCAATAGCAAAGAAATAATTAATCTTTCAAAAACAAATAACCAATAAAAATTTTTGAAACAAATTTATCAGTTTTTTTTTAATCTATCAAATGAATATTGTTTATATTTTTGAAAATTGTTTAATTTAATTTATTTATTTTTATTCTTATAACAAATTACTGTAAAATTCTGTTATTTTTTAGGGAGAAAAATACGAATTTTAAAAATTATAATTTTAAGAGAAACGCAAGCATTTATTGTCATTAAAACTTTCTGGGTGGGCAATCACGATCTGTTGAGATTTAAATTGAAGAGTAAAATGATTGAGAATCAATATCATTGAACAACAAAATTGAATTTAAAAGCTGAATGTTTTGAAAGGGGATATTTTTTATAATATTTTAAACGTTTGTCGCAGCAACAATGAAAATTGTGCGACTTTTTCCATACATTTAAATAAAATTGTAAAACAATTAATTACCTCCTAACAATTGCAATGAGCTCCATAATTATGCAGATTGAGCGAATGAATTACGAACAATGAAAATTTAAATACAGGTGTTATAAGGAGGAAGCAAAAGTGTCTTTGTCACAGAGATGCACCTGTTCAGTTCAAGGGGAAAAGTGCATTATTGTATGTCCTCTGAATGTCCTGCCATTTTTATTTGTTTTCAATGTCAAAACTCTCGCAGTTTGTGATTACAAGCAATTTGCGGATAACCCCTAGACAATAATGAGCATGGAAAAGTAATGCGCAGCGTTATACAAATGCACTTTGTGGTTTTCCCACGATTGGGTGACCGCGGCTCGTGGTGCCATTTCACGATCAAAGTCGGCGATGTTTCCCAAGTGGAAAATGTAAGTAATGAGACGGATGCGTTGTGTAAATTGCGTTCGTAGCGTGCGGCCGGCGATCGCTTGCAATCAAAGTCGGTAATTAACGCTGAGAGAAGCTATTGGGAAAAAGGGAAATGAACGTAGCACTCGGCCGCAGAAAGAATAATATAAACAATACTAAAAATTAAGTTAAGTTG